ACCTTGTGAACACTGGATATTTGACGAGGCCCCGCCATCTGCATGACTGCTTCTCAGTGCTTACACAGCCTTCGTCAGTATTACACGACTGTTCGTCAAGTGAGGTGAAATTTTATTCGCTGTTCACAACTTTTATTGTCCACGAATTTTTACGAGATATATTACAAGATTTTTAAGTAGCTGGCGAGTCAGCCATCCAGAATTCCTATTGTTTCAGTTGATTAAGCTATCTCTGATCTGAGTCATAAGGTGTTCATCACACTGACAAGCTCGGACCCAAACAATCCATTTAGCTAGCTAGCTTTCAAGCAGGCAAGCACTACTGATTGTTGTCTTGAAAATGGCAGTATCCGGCTACTCATCTCAGTCAGTCAGTAGTATCTAACAGCATGCAATGAAAGAAAAGAATGTTTTTCTCATTAATAAATGAGAAAATTGTTAATGGAAATAAAATATAATTAACTGTGACAGTGTGAATAGAGAGAGAGACATAGAGAGATAAATGACAATTACAGTTTTGTAATAATGCACACATATAAATGGTTTGATTGATGATGGATGGGTGGCACTGGCATTGGTCCTTACAACAGGAGCTGACGTATTAACACTGACAGAGTAATAGAGCTAAACATACCTAGTAGTTAATTAAGTTGGGTGAAATTTGACATACTAACTGTAACAGATGTAATTGTATAGTTGAAATGAAGAAAAAAGCTGCGTGAGGGTGGAGTAAAACTCAGAGATTCGACAAAGTAACTGGCCCACTTGATTCACAAAGCAAATAAAAATAAAAAAATTAGGCGAAGTACTGTAAAGTCACTGTAGGTAGGGTCCTTGAGGAACCAATGTCATCAGTTGATGAAGCATTCAGAGCTAGATGAATGGACGGTGACCATACCACGTTGACAAAAAGCACTTGTTCTCCTTTGACCACAAAAGTTAAGCGACGCTGAGCCAACTGAGTAGTTGCATGAGTGGTCGACTGGAAAAACTAGATGTCGATGGCATTTTGTACGACGTTGGTTCAGTTATCCGAGATTCGATCCTCTGCCACGGCACTCCTAAACCTCTCTAAGCTTGTCATTAGCCCGTTAAAAAGATAGAAGGTTCGGTGGTGTGAGGCTAGAAATCCTACCTCCATGGAAAATAATGACACTGCTACTGAAACTTTAAAGTCCACGAGCTAAAGCCATAAGTCCTACTGGAAACGCTAACGAATATTAGTTTGCATATACTACTTCACCTGCCTGCTTGTAGGAGATAGGTATGTCGGCTATACCCAGCGTTTACTATCCAAACGTATTATCGAACACTTACTCATTGTCATGGTTTTATAAAGGAGAAAAAGGATCCCCACTCCTCAAAATCAGCTGTATCCTGGAACACCTAGTCGAATCTCGACACCAAGTTAATTCACAAAGGAACTTCAGAGTTATCTACAGAATACGTATGAATCTAGCTAAAGGCGTACAAATCAAATTTGTGTGAATAGACGGCAGAGTAAGATTAAAGTTTTTACACTTGCAGTTTCTGAGAGGAATACAAATTACTCCTTGAAGTTACTGGAAAACAGCTGTGCTACAACCCTCCTAGGAATATGTGTATATTAATCAATCACACTTCATTAAAGAATTGAAATCTTGAGAGGGAATGTAAGTATACATGTACAGTTCACCAAACCATGTTATAGAATAGTGGCTAACTTGATTAAGTAGCACTAACCAGACGTATTTCGTGGAAATATAACTAAGTGAAGCCATCAGAATTCTTGGACTTGTTTCTGTATAATAGTGCAAGTCTCCACTCCACTGTGTCCTCCGTAGTCTTCTTTAGTTAGCTCTACAGTTGTTCGAAATATTTTCATCTTCTTCTCCTACCCCTCCTCCATGTCATCCATGAACGCAGGCCCAACCCGCCGTTTCCCATTCGAGTTCTACTCGGGGGCTTACTAACTAGCTGTTTAATGTCAGTCAATGGTCTTCTCATCGCCCAATGTCCAGTCCATCTTCACTTAATTCGGCGTGTTTGTCAGCCGTTGGATTGTTGAATAACGCAAGAACACGTCATACTGAAATCTGAAAAAGGCTCAGGAGTGGTGCTGATGGATAAAACGACTACACTGCAAAGATAAAAACTGTTTTAAATAACGCGTTGAGGTATAAATTGGGGGCCTGTCAGAAAAATAAGATATATGCGGTTTAGAAGCGCATCAAAAACTTATTGAGACATTTCCTAGATAAAGAAGATATTGAATGACAAAGGTGCTCATTGTGATTTAAAACCCCAAGAATGCCACCGGGCCAATATGTTTGTATGTCATTCCAGAAACACACAAAGAAGATATCCCTCTGAGACCTAAAATTTTATGATCAAATTGTTTCAGCAGGACAAAAGTACTTGTTTACTGGTGGAGAAGTTGAAAATTATTCGTCAACGTCAGCTGTGGGTACCACGAAGGATTCATTTCATTTCGCTTTAAGTCCAAACCAAATGAACGTGATGAAGAACTGGCTCAGTTACCGATCCTTACTGCAATTTACATCTTAGTCAGTGCCCACGTTCCCTAATTGACACAGTAATAAGTGTTGCACGTTTCCGTGTGGGTGGCAAGGAGGAGACAGTGTAAAGTGCATTGTTGAAAAACTATACGGATTCATGTAACGACCCGATTAAAGAAAGAATCAGAAAAACATAGAAAAAATTCCCATATAGACATTTAGAAAACGGAAAGATTTAGTGAAGAAATATTTACTTTTCAATTAGATTCTCATCTCTGACTCTACTCTAATAAATATTGCATTTTTATTATAATACACAACAATTTACGAATCAAGTGGGATGTCATTAGGGTGATAATTTACGAAGAAAATTTTCGCACACAATTAAAAGGTAGAAATTGTTACAACACGTGGGTTGCATTATGCATAACATTGGAAAAATGAAGAGTAATTAAAGAATAAGCGTGTGCACAGTTTGATTACGTAACAGAATGTTAAAGAAAATAAAACGATTTGGACAATATCTTGTAACTAAGGTTCAAGTGGTCATAAGTGGTCATATAGCTGAAGCAATAGGAATCCACCTGAAGAAGCCAAACCTGTGTGTTCAGAAGAAATTTGTACAGCCACTTTCGTTACCTTGGCCATCGTTACGTGAATGTATAAACCGGACTACTTCGCCCCCTCCCCCTAAACCTTTAAAAATTATAAAAATTATAATTGTTCAAATTATTTTATTCTTGCTGACTACTTCATCTTTAATTACATGTTATCATTGTTCAAATCGTTTTATTTTCTTTAGCAGTCTGTCACGCAATCAACATGTACACACGCTTATTCTTTAATTACTCTTCATTTTTCCGAAATTATTCATTATGCAATGCATGTGTTGCAAATATTTCTACCTTTTAATTGTGTGCATTAATTCTCCTCGTTAATTATCACCCCTTGTGATGGTTTGAAAATTATCACCCGATTGACATGTTGACACTGACTAATTATTGTTAACAAACGTATCACCATTTGATTGGTAAATTGTTCTGTGATTGCATGGAGGATTTCATCATGAGCTGACATCAGTTAAAAAATCACTGGAAAACCTGGGAGTACTGAACAGCTGTTTCGTCCTAGTTTGGGACCAATATTGAAACCATTACTTGAAAATTAATCTGATGCTCACTAGTGACTGCCCTATTCAGGCAGTTAATCTGGGGTTCTAGTAGGAAGCCGTGATCAGTAGGGTACAGCAGGCTGAAGACGAGGCAGTAACTCATCGAAGAAGATATTACGAAGTGGTCGCGCTATGTCATGAATTGGCAGAAGTTAGAATTCAAGGACCACTGGATTGGGTCCCAGTGGCTCAATGGTCTATGAGCTCGCCTTCTAACCAGAAGGTCCTGGGTTCGAATTCCGGTTGGTGTGTACCGTGAAGAGTCCCAAACTAAGGCAAAACGGCTGTCCAGTACTCCAAGGTTTTCCAGTGGTTCTCTAACCGATGTCAGCTCATGACGAAATCCTCCATGCAATCAAACAAAATCCCTACAAAACCAATACTTGAAAATTGTTGTGTAGTGTATTAATAAATGCTACTTAAATATATTAGAGTGGAGCTAGAGATGAGGACCTAATTGAAAAGTAAATATTTCTTCGCTCAATCTTTCTGTAATCTGAGAAATGTTTCCGAAGACCTGTATTCCACTCAAAACCTAGAAGAATAAACAGAAGAACAACGTGACCAATATATTTTGTGTGTGTTTCCTTATTTACATTGTCCACATATTATTTTCTCTCTTTTCATGTGAAATTTCATTCGGTATTCACCCTTCATACTCTCGGATTATTAACTGATGACGATTTATTTGTTATCGGATGGTTCTGCCGGATTTTCACAAACATACTTTGACAATTTTTTCCTCTTATCAAAGGCTATTTTCCTCTCATCTTTACGCTGTAAGTGAAGCGCAGGGCTTGAGACCGTTTTTGCAACTCAGCTTAAAGAACCGAGTCAATCCAAACCACCGGAATTATGGTTATCTACTTCGGCGAACCGATATTTCATCAAATCAAATTCACAGGGGCTACAACTCGATTTCCAGATCAACTCAGTACAGAATGACGCTTCACTATCATCTAGTGAACTACGACGAGGTTGAGAAGTTCCCCAAAGGCGATTCAAACCCAGATGTCCAAATATTTCTGATCTCTGTGGTCATTACCCCATAGGACCCCAGTAGCCCATCCTCTAATGTAATAATCTTTTGCTGGCTCAAAATCAGAAAAGAAAAAGGAGATGTTTCTAAGCATTTTCATTCGAATTTTACAGAAAAACTCACGAAAATACACATATGAATATCAGTTTTACGTGATAATTTTGATGCATATGAATATGATTTATTATTATTATGCAACGCACGATATTCACAAAAGAGAAACATTCACATGAAGTTTTTACTGAGGTATGCCTATCAAGAAATGATTTAATGAGTACTCATAAGTTATTTACTTCAAATGAAAATTTATTTCTATATGAGGTATCTTCTTCAAAACATTCAATGCAAAGCCTTTTATCCACATTGACTGATTCAATTACAAATATATCCATTGAACACAGAATGTATACATTGAACATTGTACATGTTGGAGGGAAATTCAAATGAAAAAGTTGAAACATGAGACATTTATACAAAAAAATGAAATCTAATCAGTTTTATAGTCGGTGAGTGAGATATTGTCTTAAACCGATGTCATATACATTTCATTTCTTCCTTCATTCACTGGATGCATCCTGTTGGCCTTATCAGGGTCGTTAATACCAGTATGATTTTTGTTGTTACTATTACTACTATTATGACTTGTTCCAGAGTCTGTTCTTTCCATTGTGCTCAGACGATAAGCAAACTCGATGAGTTCAACAACAAATGCCGCAGTTAGTCCAATACTCAATGAACATAGACCACCAATACGACTCAACAGGACACTGATGCTTAGAACTAATTTTTGTTGACTGACGCGTACATCTCTAGCACGTCGTTTCAACACCACATAAGCGAAATTATCGCCTTTTAAATTGAGATCATTGATCGCATTTGAAGAGATCTTGAGATATGCAGAGAAAAGGAGAGAAATACAAAAACATCGAAAAGTAAGGTTTAGGTACAAAATTATGTGAAAACATATATAGATTAAGAAATCATTACATATCAAGTTAAAATTTACTGGGAGAACTTTTCATTTCATATAAGAATTCACTTTTATAAAAGATCAAGCGCAGACCTATCCAGGCCGGATCCTACGGGAAAACTAGTCTCTCTGCTACGAACATTTCCCTCGTTCTTGCAGTCAAACATTTACAGGTACCCTTCATATTTTACCTACAACTGTTTATACAAATTCACATGTATCTACAGGAGCAATCACATTGGAAGAACAGAAGGAATTAGGGCCTACGTCAGATTATTAGAAAATATACCAAAGAGCTCTCGGTTAAAAAAGACATACTGCTTAAGCTTTTCAATCACCAAACACAGGATACCGAGTAGACTCACTGGCATCATTCAAAATAATAAACAGACAAGACAGCTGAAGTCTTCTTCGGTTTATTGAGGCTATCTCAATAAAAGGACTGAAACCTGACCTATGTTTCCAAAAGGAATCTGCCGCTGAACTCCGACTACCCTGGTGTCTCGTCGATTATTAACTCTTTGTTTCCTAAATTGATTAATTTATCTTTTCAACTCCCCCTCCCCCAACTCTACTACCTTTTGACTTTCGTAAGGGATGATTCTTCTTGAGCTGATGAGTTGTACTCACCAAATTACATCATTGCCTTCCATGTGACCTCTTGCACACCAAATTACGATCTTCCCTAGCTGAAGTATATAATTGTTACAGATTTTTTGTAACCACACTAACCACAAACTTGTCAATTAATTTTCTAGAAACTTCTCTCTGACCAGATGTGCATATATATATATATATATGCAGTGTAATAATTCCACTGTCTTCTAATCCTTATGTTGAATCTCACAATGATCTTCTTATCATACGTCTGTTGACAGATAAAAGTACACTAAAATCTCACACTGACATATATTTATCAATGGTTACAGGTTGTATGCAGCTGACGAGATAAATCAACGAAATTCTATGGATCCATGCTATCCTGCACCAATGTTTTTTGTTCATTCTCTGCTCAAACTTGTCACTTCGTTGCAAAGACAGTCTAGGGAGTGACATTTCACTCAATAGACTTTTATTTTTTTAATATTTTATTGGTAGAATGATTGGAGACCCAAACTAAGAATAAGCTAGATTATTTTACCATAAACCAGTGTGCATTTATCAATCCACCTAAGTTCTCCTGCTAGGCATAATAACCTACCACATAGCTTAGACAGTCATGGTTTGCCAAAAGATAGGCAAAAGCCATTCAAAGCTCCACGTTTTGTGTCACATTTAGATAATGGTGGTCATTTAGTGGGAAAAAAATACAAAGTCATTAAGGGTGAAGATTTATAGCACTACATCACATCATTTCGAATATTTCAATGGAGTACATATTTACCAAATACAATATTCAGATGAGGGGATTGACACTCGAACCATTCCTGAAGACAGGAATACGCTGGACTGACAAAAAGATTCTAGAAGATCTGGATTACGATCATGAATGTCACACAAAATCGAAGAAGGCGAGCAAGTGAAAACTAACAAACCGGCTGAAGAGGCTAGCTGAGCAGCGTAGAAAAGATCACACGTAAAGTGAACATAGAAAAGACGGATGCGATGAAAATGCCCAACCGACCAGCCAGCCAACAACAAATAGGTCCAATTACTATCAACGGAAGAGATTTGTCAGATGTTACTTCCTTCACTCATTTGGCTAGGAAGCATCATGTCAACCACAGATGACACTGATGAGGATGTCAAAACCATCCAGAATCGGAAAGGCAAGATAGAAGGCTTCATCAACCTGAAACCAGTCTGGACATCATCTGCACTCAGCCTGTAAGAAGAAAATGCTTCATATTTTCAACATCAATGTTAATTCAGTCAACGAATCAATTGTTTTATCTGGTTGAGAAATTTGCACTGCGCGTGCGTCACCGAAAGCATTTCCAATAAGCTAGGGCGGAACTTCATCGACAGCTGCCATTGCTGCCTCTAAATTGAAAATGAGATAATTGGTGAGAACGAATCAACAATTGGTAACTGTGGGAGAGAGCCAAGTGAGAAGGGATTGCTCAACACATATGTAGGAGAAAATGGAGTTGGACTGTACATGATTTGATGAGAACAAAGAATGAAATATCGCACTAGCCAGGCCATTGCTTGTGTGGAACAGGAATAGGAAACGACAAGTATGTCTCCGGTCTGAGGTTGACATGGAGAAGACCGTGTGTAGAGGAGGAGGATTTAAGAATCTATAGGCAGTCGTACAGTCAGCCAGCTGGAGAAGACAGTAGAGAATAGAACGAAGTAGGGTAGCTCTCAGGTCGAAGCCGTTTTTTCTACTGGGAACTCAATTGTTCAATAAGTAATAGAATAATAAGTGGAAGTATCCACACCTTTCGGTTAAATTTAACCATAGGAGATAGTTTCTGAAAAATTATACACAAGAACTTACGATTGAACAGCTTGATAATAAAGTGGTTGAAAAGATAGAGTATCTTCGTTGATTATTGTTTTCTTCAAATATGAGGTATTTAATGGGCACTCACTAATGTGATCCCTTGAGTTACATCACGTGTCAGCCTCTCCAGTGATTGAGAAGCAACCAAAACGACACCTCTGAAGATCATACTGAAGACAAAAGGTGTTCCACTGAGTCCACATAGTGTTGCACAAAGTATGATATGAAGTGAAATGCAGTTCACTTCTCGAACATTAGCTATTCCATAAATACTAAGGAAGTTGCCTTCATAAATGATCTTTCTTATGAAGTAACTTTATCCTGTAGTAAGAATCCTCTTAGCAGAACATGTTTATAGACCTTTCCACATATTATGCTAGTGAAAACGTGATAATGATAGGTCTGATTTGTGTTTTCCACATCAGTAATTGATCTCCGATTAACTTCTGAATAAAAACAGAGTCCACGAAAATTAAGATTAGAAGACAGACTGATTCGTGCCAGTGAGAACATTCTGTTTGTAATAGTCAAAAGTACATTAACTTCAAATACTAAATACCTCGGATAGTTAAACCAACAAATTAACCAATGATATCGGTTCGCCCAAGGTTATCAGCCTAAATGTTATCCAGTCACAATATAATCAGTATTTAATCCTATTTAAACTTATCTTATTCTCTATAATTAATCCTCTTTCACCTGGTTTTAGCCACTTCTTAGGACGATTGCACACATATTAAAAACTACTCAAATAACTTGATGACTATTTACTTCAATTTTCCATTTTCCCGTCGATTGATTGGACGGAAGTGCTAGGTCTCGAGTTGACATGTCGGCTTCATGTGCAGATGCTTCGACGATGTCTAGACATGTAGTCAGAATTTAATTGGTGGATGGTGACTAGCAGTGAAATCCAGGACGCACATTTCGTCCTATTTGGGATTCGTCATCTGGAACATCATCACTCACTGGGGAATGCAGGTACATCCAGATGACGAGTCACAAGTAGGACGAAATGCACGACCTGGATTCCACTGCTAGTCAACATCCACCAATTAAAACCTGATGACTAATAAGTCATATTTGCAGTTTTCAAATCAATTTCCAATTTCTTTTGAAATCAGAATTATTACTAACAGAAATAATATGTGACCTGCTTTATACTGCCGTAAATAGTAGTCGTTCTCCCTTAGCGGGTTGCTTAAAACCTGAACTACTGAGAAAAACCTCTGTCAATATATATATCATATAATTTCTCTTATTCATTTTGTTTAAATCTAGTAATATATAACATCTAAAAGTATTAGTTGTTTACTCTGGCGAGTATTTAAAACACTCCCAATCTGCTCATTCTCAAGCTTCTACTAAACATGAGAAAAAGCATTGTCCTCAGTGGATTGCAGATTATCCCAATACATAAGATGAATGTCCCTGTGTTATGTCCTTGGTTCACCAACAGGTACTTCTTAACATTTTATGATGACATTCAACCAAATGCTGTCGTGTATTTCTCGAAGGAGACGATGAAGGGGTGTTATAATGGTGGATTGGTTTGCGCTTCAGGTTCGATAAAGCTATTCCACATGATCTAGTGCCAATGAATCGTTTTTGTTTGAAGATTCTGGAGGAAAATGAAACGTCGTGCAGTCAAGCCCTCTGAAGATTTCGTACATTATATCAACATTATTTCAGAATAAATTTATTACTATTAATATTAAATGACCAAAATTGTGTATCAGGAAAGACATAATATGAGCTCATGTTTTATGATTATTTTGGAGGACTATTCTTCTCATAACTGACTACAGCTTGAACAGTACAAGGTAGGTTTTAGCTACATACCGAAACTTCGAGTATTCTGTCTTCTCTGTGATGACAAGGAGTAATTGATGATAGAAATCATGAGTAACATAAGTCCATGACATCTTCTGGACACTAATCATCCGACTAAAAGACGTTGAAAATAATCAAATGGCTAAAGAAGTCAAGCTTGCTGATGCTTTTCTCTGAGGCAGGTGGCGTTAAACGAAATAAAACCGAATCTATGTTTGGATAAGGAGACATTGGTGAATCCTGTACTCACTACCTTGATAATGAAACTAACAATAACAAAGTATCAAGTTTGACCACAAGCTGACATCAGTTAGAGAACCGTTGGAAAGCCAAGTGGGAATACCGGGCAGCTGTTGCGTCCTAGGACGCTAGTCATCATCGGTAGGCTCGTAGTACCAAGGTCTGAATTCGAGACCTTACGGTAAGAAATCCAACTCGTAGACAGCAAGTAGGCCCGACCCAGTGGTCGATGCATGAGTTCGAACTTCCACTGATTCATGACTTTAGCGCGACTGGCACCAGCCAGTCTCATCTGCGATGGGTATTTCCCCTGGCAATCGATATCGTGTTGGACTTCATACTGGTCACAACGTGTTACAAGGTAAATCCAGGAAACTTAGTGACGCTTTAGAAGTACGAGCCTACCTCCAGGGTTCTAAGCTGGACTGCAAGTAGTGGCCAGTGAGTCGGGAACCACTGGTTGAATGGTTGTCCACGAGATCTTCATTATAACCACAGTATAGTGGGTTCAATTCCGTGTGGTGAGTGTATGCTGCTCAAGAGTTCCAAACTAGTGAGAAATAAATCTTCAGTACTCCATTGTGCTTTTCAACAGCCCAATGAATGAAGGCAGTTAGTTTAGTTACGTAACCTATTTAACATTTTATACTGTTTCTAATTAAAATCTTTTTCAACTCTGGAACTGATTTTTGACTCTTTCTACAAGAGCATTCGTTTAATTACCATAAAAGTGGCATGAAAATATAATTTAATAACTTCAATTATTCCACAAGTACGTTGCTGTTAATCCCCATGAACTGACTGAATGACTAGAAATGAACCACTCAACAGCATATTGCCTACTCAACAAATATTCCGAAGAAAAAGGATACGAGTCGGATATATTTTGGGAAACCGTTGACTGACATGTAACACAAAGCCTACCCTCAAGTGGAATCTAAATGAGAAACGACGAGCTGGGTAGTGATCCAAGTGTGACACAGAGAAGATTGAGTGCTGGGGGTGGAGATGAGAGATTGTTGGAAATCGTGATGCCAGCTACAGAAGGCCGTAGAGAACAAGCCATCTCCTCCAGCTGAAGCCATATGATCTATTCCGAACCCATGGGAGAAGTAATAATATTGTGGTGAGAGCTGGCTGCTAGCCAAAGTTGTATATTAAAATCTATAAATATGTGTTGATTTTTCTTAATAAACGATCTGTTGCCTGGCCCTTGTCTTCTGTTGTTACATTTGGTGTCGCTGCCTACCGACAAGTGGAAAGCCTATGCCTGCAGTTCTGATAGTTTTTATTGATTACTCCTTGTTATCGGTGACGGTTCAGAGGCAGAATCCTCACCAACCATGCGTGCGGTCCGAGGTTCGATTCCCTTTATTTCCCCCAGGCGGATGAAAGCCTTAAAAAGAGGGCAGGTTGAGTTTGAGGCCGAGAACTTCACCCCGTGGAAAGCACCACTGCCACTGAAACTGCAAAGCTGAAGCTTAAAGCCCTGTGAAACACCCGGAAAGCAAAGGGATAAAACAATAAAAGTAATAATAATAATAATCACGAAGGGGAAAGCACATTGAAATCTCTTTAATGTGATTTGCATTTATGCTGTATTATTCAGGTTGTGTAGCCAACTATGAGAAGAATAATCCACGAAATCATAATAATAGTTGAGGTCATATCATTTAAGCGATATGGCCGTCCCATTCTGTTTAAATCACCTTGATTCAACTACAGTGCATTCCTAGTTGATGCGACTGGTATGCAATCACTCATCGCAGTCACTTAGTATTTTATAGTTTAATGCAGAACAGCTCATATTATCTCTCTGTCCTGATACACATTAGTCGTTCTTGTTTGATCGAAGCTTATTCATGACAAGAATAATATGAATATTATTTAATTAACTTACATTTGTCAGATTATCTTGCTCATAGTATTCTTTCCATCGTTGAAATCCATGACTGTTTGTAATATTCCAGTCTTCCCCATGTTGTTTTGCTTCATGCTGCATTGATTTAAAAGCTCTATTCAACTGCCGAAGCCAGTGAAGTTGCCAGTCGACAGCTCTCCATGTTGTCACCGAGATTGTACTCTCATAAGTGTAATATTGACATCTTGGCTGACAGATTGTTCTTTCATAATGTTGTCTAACTGTAGCATTCAACGGGCCAGATGTGAGACACTGGACGCGTTCACTTAACACCATCACATTGATACCATTCTCCATAATCGATCCACAATAGGGGAGATCAGGCGACGGAAATTGTGGACGTGGGTGATAGATATATTGACAACCGCATTCTTTGATAATATCCTCTTGTTGATGAAACAATATACACTGGGGTTGAGTGTATCTATAGGAAACATTCAGATCATGATATGCGTAAGCATAATCAGAGTTTAGGGATTCAGCTAAAGTATGATCTGTGATACGTGCCAGTTCGGGATCACGATCTATATGTTCCTGTCGACATGGTCTTTGTGGAGTGTCCAAAAGTTTCCACAGCACTGGTTTGTAATTGATTTCATTCAGTTTTCCTGGTTCCACATGAAGACCTTCACGTTCCAGATCTGGATAGGTACCAGGTTCGTGGACAACAACACTTTAAAATGGAAACAGGAGAACAGAATCAAAATGCATAATAATAATGATTTGCTATATTCCAAAACTGTGCTTATGATAAAGTGTGGAATTTTCAGCATTTCCTACAATATTACCGCGTCTAATTTACTCCACGACAAAAACAACAAACCTAAAATTATTGATAACATCCATCAACAAATTTTGGCATTAGCAAAAGCGGAAGGGTCAAAATGATGCACAATTGTAAAATGATAATAATAATATTGGTTTTAATAACACCAAACTGCGAGATAATCGGGATAGTGAGTGTCAGCATAAAATTACAAATATTGGAGAATAATTGAGCCATTTTTTGAATACTAGTTGCACACTTGGTCGTACATCTCACGTTTAACTTCACCTTTATCACATAGAACGTGGGTTGATGGGATGGCCATATTGGGTATTGTTCAGTTTCTGAACTTGGTTGTGTGGAGGAACATATAATCTCTCATAATGACTTTTAATCCTACCTGATGAGATGCAACAAGTGAAAGGGAAGGTTGTGGATAGAGGTGTTGAGAGTCAGAAAATATGGTTTTGGACCGTTTCTCATATGATTTATTCATCTATCTATCGACTATGATAGTAACGAGCTGACTTGGTGGTGGCCAATCGCCTGCTATGCTGACAACCTTGAATAATCTTAGCTTCGTCATGAGATAATATTTTTGAGTAGCCCAGGAAAGACTGTTCGGAAGCTGATATGAGGTAACTGAAAAACGTTTCACTGTGGTCTGAACGTATGAAACCGTTCTGCACTGAGTTCTGCTGAGGTACGCATAATCTCGAAATAATCCGAAGACAGAAAAAAACGACTGTTTGCGATTGGAATCCATGTGTGGTCCTACTTAACAAAAATAACATTTCAGTATATATATATATATATATATATATATATATATCAAGCTGCAACGCAATGCATTATCTGCGATAGACAAATCGTTCGGCAAATCCCCCCTTGACGATCTATTTATCAAATATAAATTACTTATTTAAGCCATTATTACAGGCATTTCCCCTAGCCTGCATGTGTATCAATAATTTGACATTTGCATACTACATGTCGATTTTTGACCTTTATTGTTTCCTTCTTTGTACACTGATAGTGTGTCGTGAATGAAGGTGGTTCTGACCGAGGACTGTCTTTGGGAAGCCGTAATGTGTGATTCTTGTAGACAGAGATTTTGATCCTTGATTCTAAGTACTTATTTTATACTTAGAAACACATATTGCCTGTATAGCAGCTGCCTCATGGTACTGTTGAGGTAGATTTGAGTTTTGATGTTATTATTGTCGTCTAATAGAATTACTGTAATGTTGCAGAAAAATCGTCTCCCCCCCCCTCCGGCGTTTGGAACATTTAGTGAAAACACGTGTCTTAACTAAATTGTGTCGGTCATTTACTAGGACGTGGAGATCAGGTTTTTGCATTCAGACCGAATAATCGAATCAATTTGGTCGTCATCCTACTATCGAACAGTGAATGGAATGACAGTTAAGCTTACATGTCAACCTTATCGACTTAAAAAACGGTTTTCAACAGCGTTGAATGTGATATGATTTGGAAACTTTTTCAACAATTCAGAGTCAGTCAGACATTTATCAGCCTTAGGTTGATAACTATATATGATCATGCCACATGCTGTCAAGTGATTCACAAACAAAATCACAACGAAGTACAGTATTCCAGATTACAATGGTCTGTATTATTCGGCACACTGTACGATGGAAGCGAAAAACAGGAAGAACACTAAACTGATGAAAAGGTGTCATATAATTAGGAATTCGCGAATGATTTATGTCTCTTATACCGCACAACAAACGCGAACACTTACAGACAGTAAATCAGAATTTCGCAGCAAACGTTGGGAAGATAGGACTTTTTATGTGAACCTTGGGAATTGAGAAGTGACTAATCAAGAACAACAACAACAAGCACAAATCACGATTCAACAGGTAAAGTATCAAGAAAGTCGCTTCTTTCCTTCATTTTACAATCACCATCTCAACTGCAGATCGCTGAGATGATGGTAAGATAAGCAGTTGGTATCGAAAAGGCATGAGAGACCTTCATTAATCTAAAATCAGTGTTTGAGAATCTACTGCAGTCAGCATAGTTCACGGACTCACTGAGTCATGAAAGACATTTCTAAAAGGCTACCAATGCCGACTTTCATCAACAACTGCCTTCTCTGGGTAAATAGTGAGGATAGGCTGACCAGAAATGTCTAGAAAAACAGGAAACTCTGACAGTGAATCCAACGAATGCCATAATCCCCAACAAATATGCCAAACAAGGAGATGGTGATGGGTTGGTCATACACGGTAAAGAGTTCATGTAATGACACCAGATGTCAGGCAGTTCTTCAAGTGGAAGGCAGATGGGAAATAGCGATTAAGGGTGGTAGTTACGATAGTGATATGGGGACGATAGTGTGAAGAAAAGGCGATTATCCATTGTGATATTTTCTTCGAAAGGAATACTAACAACAGTCATAAACCCATCGACTTGGCTATCACGAAAACCAAATGCACTCATCCTAATTGTTTAATGAGAGCATAAATGCATTCAGTATCATGTTGTGGTGTGACCACTAAGGTGTTGTCTCCTCCAGTCTTTAGTACAAACTTCCATTTAATTACTATAAGTAGAGAACTGTGGTAGAATGTAACTGTGTATTAGATAAGTTTGTTTTAAATATCACACACGGGTGATGAGGTGCAGAATTAATAACTGGATGATAATTTTTCCAGCAGAAGTTATTGCCACTCATAATCAGCATACAGCTTCACAATTTGTCTTTTATATATTTTCCCTCTTTTTCTCTCCCCATCTTCTTCTTTCAGTTCACTAACACTTTCCATGTCTCAGGCGTAGGCGTCACGACATTTCGATTACACATTTGCGGTGTGCTGATTCCATAAACAAAGACTCAGTCAGTGATTGATCTCTATGTCTCTCTGTTTCCACCTAACTATATTACTTTTTAGTACTCTCAGCATGTCCAGCTAACGCTACCTGTTGCGTGATTACATGCAAGTGAATGCAACGTAATGCAATGGCCGAGCCCTGCTTTTTCCTAAGTTATTTTACTAACTCATCAGGGTCAGTCATTTTATGTCTGTCTAAATTTCTATGTTCTGACAATTTGACTGCCGAAAATCTACTCATATTTTAACCTATGATGTAAATGACATTACAGTCATTACATGGCATTTAGTAAATTTCATGGGATTTTTCTTTGGTGAATCTACCTAGTCCTTAAACCGGAAAGGTTTATCTCCAAGAGAGTTGGTTATTTTGTGGTTGGTTTAAATGCCATCATGGTTGGTTCCAGCTTAGTTGAGAATCTTACATAGTGCCTCTGATATTCTTTCTGTATACAGCAGGCAATACTATACAATCTGAATGAAGAATATTCTTTTCAATAATTTCTCTTCAGGTTCTTACAATTATAAAATATAATATCTATTATCGTTACAATAATAATAGCCAGTTATGCGGCGGATACATTTTTAACGTAGAATAACAGATCAGTTATGGGGTGTCAAAATAAATAGTCGTATTTGTGTGACAAACGTGCTAGGCTGAATTCGATTACAAAATATTGTAAAACGGGAGACAGTGGTGGTGACTAATCATAATAGATTTGTAGAGTGTGGGGTAGGAAAATTGACAAATCAGTTCAAGGTTATAAAAGATGTCAGGTGAGTGGCCAGTAAAAAGTGGTCTGTGTGACTTTTAATTCATGGGATAGGGAATATTCCACACTATCAAATACTATACAAGCTTTGAGTTCTATATCATTCTTAACGCTTTTGCCATTTTTCATTACTAATCCCATTCTTTCTATGGTTTCTCATGCATTTCTAAATCAATTCTGGTGGGTAGTTTAGTTATTCACTAGTAATATTTTCTTTATTTGTTTGATTTCGTTTTTTTAAATCGGCTGGCCTACTAGTTAGTTGGGCTCCTGTCCCGATTATATAAACATTTAACTAAACCTATCTTCCTTTACCAATTGTGGACAGAGTGAATTAAAGTCTAGCCTAGGTATTTGTTAGAAGGTGTGTCAGTTTCCTGTAGACCTAGAATGACTGACCTAGTAAGCTAAATAACCTACATGAAACATGCTCAGCCACTGCATTGCATTAATTTGCATGTAATCACAAAATAGGGTGGGACAGGTTGAGGGTGTTAAAATGTAAGATAGTTAGGTGGAGACAGTGAGAGAGATATTATTCATTGACTGAGTGTTTGTTTGTCAAATAAGCAGATGGCACACGTGCAGTGCGATTGGTGCATCTCCTGCATCGGATATATGGAAAGTGACAAAAAACAACAAGGAGAAGAGGGAGAGAGTCCCTTTACTATAATTAATCCATGACCAAACTTCAAATGAATGAAATGACTACACAAATTAACTGTTACAAATTAATCTGACCCTCACTAAGGACATTGATGAGAACAAGAATAAGTTGACTGGAGCTCTAGTAATGAAAAGTTGTAAAAGGGGTGGATCCACTAGGTTAGGTGTGAGAACAAACAACTAGGCGATAACAGTAGTTGGCTTTAGCACTGAAATTTACGAATTGTCAGGAGTCAGAATTCACGGTTCAGTCACTGGGTCAAACATCCTAGTCGCTGAATTTGTTACCTTGTTGTAACCTGAAGACGACTGAATCATTCCCAGGGATCAGATGATCTCTCTGCATAGTCTCGAAGAGACTTGAAAACTGATGCGAATGAAACAGCTATCCAGAGCTTCCAAAGCGAAAGAAATCCTCTGCAAAATAATCGAAATTACTGCGGAAAATCTTTTTTTTTTACTGTCTGTCGAATGAAAGTGTGAAGTAACTTTTCTAAATTTTAAATACCAGAGCACGACTTTTAAGCCTTTTGTGTTTGAATAGATCACATTTATTTTCATTTTTTTTAATTTTCAAAATGTTCAGTTTATTTGGTCAGACTTTGTA